TTTGAAAAAATTTCCCCATAGCAGGCGGTCAAGTTTTCAGTCAAATAGCTTTCAGTTAGTATTCACGCAGATACTATTGCAAATCTGTGTTGCAGCCTAATGGTCTTTTGGTAACTAAGGCTAGAACTTTAAAAAGAGCTATAATATTCCTAAGAATAATTCTAGTGACCAGTCTTACTCCAAAGATACCTTTAGCCTCTCACCTAACAAAGATATCTTTAGACCACCACCCTGTAACCGCCCCCCCATTCAGGTCCAAACTGCCTGGTTGGGGCAGCAGGCAGGTATTTGAAGCAGTTTAAGCTCACATATTTTAAAGACCTGCTCCTGTCCATCTCTCTCTCTCAGCCCCTTGCCCCTATCCTTTTTTTTTTTAAGATTTTAATTATTTATTTTTAGAGAGAGGGAAAGGGAGGGAGAAAGAGAGGGAGAGAAACATCCATGTGTGGTTGCCTCTCACGTGTCCCCTACTGGGGACCTGGCCGGTGACCCAGGCATGTTCCCCGACTGGGAATCGAACCAGCGACCCTTTGGTTCACAGGCCAGTGCTCAATCCACTGAGCCACACCAGCCAAGGCACGTCCCTATCTTTTATGCTCTGTAGATTCCAAAAAGAAAAAAAGAAAAGTTTTCTTTCTGTAGCAAAAAGTATGTTCCATTCAATGAGTATTGATGACTCACCTGGCATACAATGTTCTGCTCTCTGAGGCAAAGAAGGATGACAAAAAGTCACTGTAAAGAAATGTGCCTTGGAAGATTATTTCACTTTGGGCGGTGGGTACACAATGCAACATACAGATCATGTATCATAAAATTGTACATTTGAAGCATATATGATCTTATTAACCAATGTCACCCCAATAAATTTAATTTTAAAAAAGGGAAAAAAAGAAATTCCCCTCATTGGTAAAAACTATAGAACTATAGAACGCTGCACTTTTTAGTGTGGGAAATTAATAGGAAATGGAAACCTCCCATTAGGGAAGGACAACAGCCCAGGCAACCCTGGATGTGTGTCATTCCTAGAATTGTAATAGGCCCCTCAACAAGCACAGAGTGAGTCAAAACATCCTTAGTTCCAACCCTGCTGTCTCTGTCAGGCCTCAAGGACCAGAGCAACCGCTTAGGCACATGACTGTCTTTCCCTTTCAAGTCTGGCCAGCCCGGAAGTGTGCCTTCCCGCTTCCTGCAGAACATCCCCTAGATGTCCCTGCCCCTTCCTTGGACCCATAAAAGACAGGTACTGACCACCTAACAGAAGAGAAAGAACAGTATAAATGTAACTCAAGACAGAAGAAGTCTACTCAATGGCAACAGTAACGTGTTATGAGGGAGAGAATATTTTTTCCAACTGATGAAGGAAGGCTTCAAGAAATGAGAGACATTTGAACTGGATCTTAAAAAAGAGGAAGGTTTCCATAGGTAGAGATCATAAATGAGAAAAAGGTACAGAGAGTGGGCAATACTAAGCATATCTTGGGGGTAGAAAAACATATACTAGGGTTTGAGTCTAAATAGCTGAGTTTAGATATACCAGAGCCATCGCCTATGGGCTTAATTTTTTGCCTATTAACTTTGTATTTCAAACTTGAACAAAAGTTTGTCCACATCTTAACTATTGAATCCTTTTGCTTTTCAGGCCCGAGAAGGGGAAGTAGCCATTATCGATAAAGTCCTAGACAATCCAGACTTGACATCTAAAGAATTCCAACAATGGAAGCAGATGTACCTTGATCTTTTCTTGGATATCTGTCAAAATACCACCTCAAATGACCCATTAAGTATTTCTTCTGAAGTAGATGTAATCACTTCCTCTCTAACACACACCCATTCATACATTGAAACGCACGTGTAAGTGTATTCTGCCTTCAGGCCATCTGGTATCTTCTAGTACTTTGAACAAGTATATAAGGTAGTTTTTATATCAATGCGTGGGACACTTGACAAGCTATACTTCAGTGTTACCAAACTATATGAAACAAACCATATATGGTCATAATACCATTGTCTTTAATGAGCATTTGTATATTTTATATGCAATTAGTGCTCAGCTTATGTTTACCATGTGCAAAATCAACTGTCTTCAATGACTTAAAATTAACTTTTGCAGACTATTCTGAAGACAAGTGGTCTTCAAGTAGTAAAAAACACAAAATGGCAGTTTTCTACCTAAGGTCATCTTTTCTCCCTTTAAGTTAATTTTATATAAACAAGACTTCAAAAGTAAATCACATTTTTTCAGGTGCAGACATCCTTGTGGGTGGGAAAGAATTTAAACCTTTTTTATATTTATTAAAATGTTCTAAGAATTTTCTTAAACATTGCACAAAGTTTAATGCTGTAGTTTTATTTTTGTGAAATGTAGATGCGCCTACAAGAGTTAAGCAAAATAGAAGAGCATCAACATAAGAGAAGTTCAGGTATCTAATATTCGTCTTAATAGTCTATTAACTCGTGAAAGCTGGTTAATGGGAATACTATTCCAAATCTATGGGGACACTTAATGGTGTATCAGGGCAAAGCTTTGTAAGATGTTTTTGTAACTAAGACCAAAATTGAAGATAGAGCTGCTTTATTTTCTTGGTTTAAATCTTCCTTTATTTTTGTAGTGATGATATGCTGATTGTGTACAGAGGAATTTGAGAGTGGATTTTTTAAAACACACTTAAATCACCCAGAAAGGCAGCTAACAGATCACATATATATATATATAAAAGTTCAGCCCAAACTCATGTTTTTAAACTCCAACTCTTAAAAAAAAACTACAAGGTATAAACTGGAATGAATCAACGTTCCAGTTAGTTTCCAATTTTCCTGCTAGTCCATTTATTAAACTCATGTAATTATACTTCAGGCAGGGAAATAAAATGTTTAGTTATAGGCTGATGTGTGTTATATAGAAAACAATGTTGAAACATAAAAATGTACCTCTCTCCTGAGGAACAAGAGGATGATGGTCATTCAGAGATCTTTTACATTGATTTATATGAGAGAAACCATTTATAGAGGTTTTTTCCTGACTTCATGAATTGTTATGTAGAGTGGATGAAGTCTGTGAAAAAATCCTCTTCATATATTTCCACTTATGAGCATCTCGTTTTTGAAAGTGATCACAGCATGTTAATGACTGTGCTGCTTTTTAGTGTCTGGCTGCATAACGTACAAGTCACAATTTGCTGTTGTTTTTTTTTTAGGAGGAGGAAGGGGCCCTCCTTTACTATTCTATATTCTAAACTCTACTTCTAATCAGCTTTATACTGTTGCTTGTACAGCTCAGTGAATGTACTTTCATCTCTAAGAGTTCAGATACATGCCAGTGAATACTTTTGCTGTCAAGGAGAAAGTAAGAACTCCACAGCGAGGATCTTTTTCTTTGCTTTTGAAACCACCATTGAATCACTATCGTTTTGCAGACTTTGCACAACTGTACAGGAAAGTGGCCTTTCTACAGCACATTTTCAGTAATCCTATATTTAGTCAAAATGGATGAGAAATCACGTTAATGTTTGTATGGAATTTTGGGTCCAGTGTAATATTTTTATCATTTAAAAAAACTATTTGTAAAAACATTTATTTACTGCATGGATATTGATGCACATTAAATTTGTGGGATTTTGTATATGTAAAAAAACGAACAAAAAAATCCTCTTGTCCTAAAATGAAGTGTGCTTGTTAAAGGTATTTAGACTTGTTGATGTTTACTAGACCAAATGTGTACATTCACTTAAAAATATCTGTACCTGATGGATATGTCATGGATACAGTGGCAGGTTGTGCCCTGTAAACAGCAAGCAGTTGATGGAAAGACTAGCTGTGTTGCTACTAAGCAGCTTTTCCTTTTGTAAAGTCTGCTCTGTTGTTTTAAATGGTAAAAATTAAACTAATGAATTTTAAAAGACTTGTGGCTAGCCTAGCATGAAAGAGACCTTTTAACACTATATATCTGTACATTTTATTGCATTAGTTTCAAATCTAGGAGAGAGGCAGCACTGTAAATTGAAGTCAAATAAATTCAGCTCTTAACGAATCCTTATAAAGCACCTACTTTATTCATACAGAGTCCTCACCACATTTCTTTGTGATGCAATCACACAGCCACCATCCCTCCTTACGCTCCCCACCCCCTTACAGGTTCTAACTTTGCTGCTCCATTGGTGGTACAAGCCAGAAGAAGCACCTGTTCAGTATACAAGCATCTTCTCTGAGTCCCTGTAAAATCAAGCTGGTTTTCCATTTCCCTGATGCACACTTGAATGTTTCACCTACTCCTCTTTCCTTTCTCTGTGATTCTTTGGGGAAATCGAGGGAGGGAGGAGCCAGCAAATATAAGTTTGTATTTTTTTTAAATATAACCTACAGCATGTCTGCAGAATGAATATTTAATGAGGATAAAAGAAATAGGATTTTGTTTTTGTTAGATGTTCCACTTAACCAAGGAGCCTGATTATTATGGCTAAGTTTGCTGAGGGGAAAAAAAAAACCTTAAAAACAATGTGCTGCCTAAAGTCAGGGCAAAAGCAGACATGGGTCAGTAAGGATGAGAGACAAAAAAAACAGCCCAGGTTATTTTTATTAAAAAATTAAAGGTGCCCTCAGAGATCTTTTCCCCTCTGAGTTCCTTATTTATATTAAACCAGAATAGAACCATTGTTCTGGACCATATAATCATTATTCTCCTTACAATGATTTAATGCTATTTAACCAAGGCACTTTCCCTTCACTATTTATTCAGATAATGCCGTCTTCTAGGACTATTTATTACAGCCTTTATAGCTAATGATTTTCTGGGGCTTGTGTATACCTCTTATGGTACATTTTTTGGCCATTTGTTTGGCACAAACGTAATCCCTGTTTAGAGCTTAGGGAAACACTTTAACAATATGAAGGAAAATAGGGTCATATTTTATTTTTGGAAGTCCATGTCTAGCCCAGTACGAGAATTTCTACAAATCCCCAGCTCACTGAAGCTGATTCACATACCCTTCTATTTGATCCCTGCTGTCTCCTCTTCTCAGCTTAAAGGGAAATATGCCTCTTTGACCAAACCCTTATTTGTCTCCTTAATCTTTAGAAGCCACTCAGTTCCCAAAGTCTCATTTTTAGGAAAAGCCCACGTGTTGCTCTGTAAACCTGCTCGAGCATGATTTTCTCCTCCCTGGACCTGAGACTGCCCTAACCCATTAAGCCCAACGCTAAATCTGGAGCCTCTCCGATCTCTCCCTCCCTTTCCTCGTCCCCACCCTCAGGCAGCTGCAGCACTGCGCACTGCAGGCTGCTCCAGGCCCAGGGCAGCGCGCAGCCAATGTCCTCCCAGCGGTCCAGGTCGAGATCATAGCCCACCACGTTGCGGGTAGGCACCTGGCGCGAGTCTCGCCACTTGACGCCCCCCAGCAGCAGCGCTGTCTCCTCCACCACTGCCAGCCCATAGCAGAAGCGGTCGTAGGGCAGCGGTCGCAGCCGACTCCACTGGTCGGTGCAGGGGTCGTAGCGCTCAATCTCAGAGAAGGGCTCATAGCGCCCCAGAAAGACAAACACCGCACCGCGAAGTGCAGCCATGTGGTGCCCGAAGCGGGCTGTGCCCATCGGCGCTCTCCTACTCCAGGCCCGCTCCCCGGGGCACAAGGAGTACATGTCCTTGAGGCTGCTCGCGCCGCCCTCACCTCTCCCTGACTTGCCCCCGGAGATGTACACGACCCCGCGGTCCCCAACAGCCCCTGCGTGACCGTGCAGGGCCCGCGGCAGCGCCCCAGCCGCGGTCCAGCGGTCCCGGCGGAAGTCGTACATCTCCACAGAGGCCAGCGCCTCGCCGCCCGCGCCCAGGCCCCCGACGGCCAGCAGCCCCTCGGCCACAGGGCCACACCAGAAGTGGGCCCGCGCTTCCCGCATAGCGGGCACCGTCGTCCAAGTGTGGAAGCGTGGGTCATAACGGTGCACTTGGCCGGTGACTGCCCGCGGGCCGTCGGCCTGGGGAGATGATGAGCCGCCAGAAGGGCTCTCCCCGCCCAGGACGAACAGGAAGTTGCCTGCAACACACACGCTGTGCCCCAGAAGCGGTGCGGGGAGCCGCGTGAGGCTTTGCCAGCGGTGATTGTAGACGTCGAAAGCCACCACGTCCTCGGTGAGCTCCCACTCGCCATCCTCCTCCTCTTCTTCCTCCAACTGCTCCTCTTCCTCCTCCTCCTCTGGCTCCACTGCGGCTCCCCTGCCCCTGGCTGCCCCCTGAGGGACCACAACCTCCTCTGTGACCGCCTCCTGCGCCCTGCGACCCCCGACCAATAAGATGCGGGTTTGTGGGCTCCGGACGCTGGTCTGCACGCCCTGCAGGAGCGGCTGGCGAGAGGGCGCCGTATGGTAGTTGAGGGCCTGGATGATGAGGCCTTTGACACGGGCAGGCAGCACGAGGCCGGAGCCCGAGTACACGCGCCGCAGCACGTTGGCAGGCACCAGGCCGAAGCGGACGCGCTCCAGCAGCGCGGTACAGTGGGCCAGGCGTTCGGCCTTGGGCTCCTGTCGCAGCCAGGCCAGTGCCAGACACAGAAGCCGGGCCTCTGGCACGCGCGCCACGTCGGGGGCACCAAGCACGGCCTTCAGCGACCCGGGGTTAAGCTCCAGCAAACCCACGGAGTCCACACCCCGCGCCAACAGCTCCCGGAGGTGACGCACAATATAGCGCTCGGCCGCGTCCAGCGTATGCATCAGACCAAAACGCGTCGCCACATTGGCAGCGAAGCAACAGTTCTCCGGGGCCAGCAGACGCTCCAAGTAGCGGCCACACAGTCCCAGGGCCTCGGTGACCTGCAGGTAGCTGGCGGCCTCCAGCGTATCTTCCACGGTGTCCATAGAGAGCGGCAGCCAGGCGGTGTAGATGAAGTCCAGCAAACGCTGCAGGCCAGCTGCCGATGGCACGTGCAGGTGGATCACACGTGCCCGGGATTCCTGGGTGTGGCTCTTGAACAGCGCCCTGAAGTAGTCGCTGGAACATGCGAGGAGAGACCTGTGCGCCGGGAACTCGGTGCCCTCGGCCTCCAAAGTGACGTCGCACAGGAAGCCCTCGGCGCGCAGGGCCTGGTAGCCGGTGAGCAGTGCGCCGCCATGAGCTTTGCAGTAAGACAGGAAGTAACTCATGATGCCCAGGGCGGGAAGCGGCTGGGCGGGTGCTTGGGCCAGCCAGGAGCCTCCGGAGGCATCTTCGGGCCCTATGCACAAGTCTAGGGGGCCCCTAACAGAGGCCCATTGTTTCCCTGCTCAGCTTAAAGCCGGGGGTTCCTTCATCCAGGTTCACAGACCTCCCCGGATCCCTCTCAGAGCCAATTCGTTCGTGGAACGGCTTCCAGAAGCCCCTGGTAGTGGAGGGCACAGAGTTTGGAATCTTCCGAGGGGATGCAGGGTTTCTGCGGCTGCGGAGGTTGCCGGCACGTTGCCCAAAGCCCCCTCCCCGGCCCTGTTTGGGGAGCCCACACCTGTGCGCCAGGGGCAGCAGGGGCCTCGCACCATCACCTGGAAGGGCCGACCTGCGAGGGGACCGACTCCCGGGGGTGCTGAATCTCTGACGGCCGAGGTGCGCAGATGTGGCCCGGCGGCTCGGGGCGTCCGGGGAGTACAAGGCGAGGGCTCTGACGTCCCGGGGGTAGACAAGGAGGACGGGTTCTGCGGGCAACCGCGAGGGCCTGGGACAACTGGCTACGGGGCTGGTGGTGGTGAGCTTATTCTGCGCGGAGGATCAAATCAAAGCCTGGGGGATTAGGGCAGGGAGGGGGGTGCGGGTCAACGCGGCGGGTCGGAGGCATGATTGGGCGCCGCACATAACAAGCCGGTAGCTCACAGCGACAGGAATAGCGCGCGGACTCGGCCTCCCCTGCGCGCCCCGCCCCGCAACCCGGCCGTTGGCCCTGAACTGAGGGCAGGGACCTGACTCGGTTGACCCGGACATCCGCCGATCACCAGGGGGTCCTGGGAACCCGGCTGGGGTTTGGAGAAAGGCGCTCATGTCTACCCGGCCCCTGTGTCTGATAGTGTCTGGGGACGGGTGCCCGGCTGAGCTGGAGTGTTGACCACCCGGTGTTCCAGGAAAGAAGCCTCCGGCGCCCAACTTTCTGTTTTAAGGAGTCCCTAATTAATCCGGCAGGAACGGGGATTAAGCGGCGATTTTGCACGCCGACACCCAAGAGGCCGCTGTGCGCAGAGGAGCCACTGGCGGGAACCTTGCCCAGGTGAATCCGGGCTTCCAGCCAGCGGCGCTAGGTAAACACTCCCCACACCTGGACTCACCTTGAGAGATGTTGACCTACTGTACGCCTTTCCCGCTTGTCTCAGATTCTGCATTCGGGAATTTGCCCCAATTCTCGTTCCCCAACTCCAGCTGAGTTCTCCCTGCCTGTTCCTGGACCCTTTCCGGCCCATCCCTTGGCAGAGTGGACGAGGAGATTGTAGGTGACTCGAGTTTTCTACCTTTGGCTTTAAGAAAATACTTCATTCCAGTTTCTCTCCCTGATTTCCCAGTCTCTGATCTAATGATTTAGCCTGCTAGATCTTCAATGTCATAACGAGATAATGGGCAGCAAGATTGCAAAGCTCTATACAGGCTGGAGTTTTGTTAGGGCCCCTCCTCATGAATATATTTTTATAAGATGCACCCAGCACAGAAATGATGACTAAAACCACCTCAATCTTGAGACATTAGAAAAACAGTTCTCCATCTCCTCCATTCTGCTCTTAAATAACTAAATGATCACTATAACTTTTCTTGCCAATTTGGAGGCTGCTCCTTGCTTTACTTTCATTTAGAATGGATTTTTCTATTTTGTAATGCAGCCCCTATAGCAGTATGGTTTAAGTGAACCTTTTGAGGGTGTCTGAAATAACTTGCATTTCTAACAGTTGGGGTTATATTTCATAGGAAAAAAAAAGCCCAAGGAAGATTAAAATTCTATCATTTTCTGCCTGATATGCCATCAGTACTTACAAGGTCTCCAATTAGAGGTAATTCTGGAAGTGCATAAAAATATTAGTAAAATGATTTTGCCTTCTTGTCAAAGATGAAGCTACTTTATGACAAATTAACCAAATTATAAAATGTGGGCAGGGGCTCAGGTTAAGGGCTTGCTTAAAACTCCAGAGGCTAAATATACTCCAATTTGAATTCCTAATGTTAGAGATACAGATGGGTTCGTGGTTGATTTTTCTTTTTTAAGTACTAAAATTCTTAGTTCAAAAATAAAATACCAGTCTGGTTCACTCTTTACAGATATCTATGGTGAAATTAAATGGCCTTTACTCAACCTAATAGAATTTGTTATAAGGGATATTTGAGATCATTTAGCTAAACCCTCTCCCTTTACTCTGCATTTTCTTGATTTTCTTTTTAAACAATTGTGGCAAATGAGTCCCAGAGAGAGTACAGTTTGCCTGAGTGACTTGGATATTGATTACCGAGTCTGGACTGGAATCCAGGTCTTCCCCCCTCCCCACCACATTATGTGACCTCAGGTATGATAAAAATAAAATAGTGCAACACAATTTACTGAAACCAATTTCAAAATGATAAAGTTGAAATACAGATATTTAAACAGCATATTTTTAACCCAAAAATCAGATTATGTCTGTCCATCACCAGGCACTCAGGATGAATCCAAAATGTCACACTTGAGAATAAAGATGCTAGGGAAGACTTTAAACTCTTGATACCAACAATCCAATTTTACATAACAAGAATGTGTTCATTGCTGGCCCAATATGGCACCTTAACATGTTTTGCCATTGAGGATATGAACAACTGTGTTAACTGAAGAAATGTGCATATTGGATGTGTTTACAAGGTCTGGTTTAGAAAATGTATTGTCAATTCATCCAAGAACATTCTTGTCCTTTGAGTAATGCTTATGGAAAATATCAATACTTTAATTTCTATGCAATATTAAGTATGTTGAATAACATTTCAGTCTGTGCTTTTTTAGTTGTTGTGGTAAGTGTGCATCTTAAGTTGGGTCGCTTAGAAGCAGGCCCTACAATCCAACGTGAATGCAGGGTGATATGCAGATGTGACAGGATTTGATCATTATGTTGAAAATGATATTTGCCCTGACCAGTGCAGCTCAGTTGGTTGAGCATTGTCCCACAAAACAAAAGGTCGCCAGTTCAATTCCCAGTCACTTGCCTAGGTTTCCGATTCCTTCCCCAGTTGGGACACATGAGAGAGGTAACCGATCAATGTTTCTCACATTAATATTTCTCACTCTTTCTCCTTCCCTTCCCCTCTCACTAAAAATAAATAAATTTTTTAAAAAGAAAATGATCTTTATGAGTTTCCCTCCCACTTTAGACTATCAACCTCTTGAGGGCAGGCAATTTTTTTTCTTGGTCTTCATATCTCCGGCCCCTCTCATGGTCTTGGGCTCAAGTAATGTTGAGTTAAACAGATATAGGGAATGACAACATCAGGAGGAGTAAAGGGTTACTAAGAGGGACTTGGCTGGGACAATGACATCCTTGTGGTTCTCTTTCTTCCCTTCATACAGTGGGGATTGAAGACACATTCTGATAACGCCATGAATTAACATCCCTAGAAATCAAGTGGGTGACAGGGTGGCCCCCTAACTGGGGAATCTAGGTGGATTCAACTCTTCTGAAAAGGCCAGACCCACTCATCCAGCCACCATTGCAACCTGGTGCTGCCCTGCAGCCCAAGTCCTTTACCTAGACCAGCTCCATGTGGTTCTCAGCACCCAGTGAGGCGCAGGGCCCTAGGTGCCCCAGCAGGCCCTCTGCACCACAGTTTGTATGGCTGGGCTTCTGCCGAAGGCCCAGCTTCATATTCTAGCATGGCTTTTGGGACCCCGCAATTTGTCCTGAACCCCTCACCACTTGTCAGGACTGTGACCTGCTGTCGGCGATCCCTTCCATGTATTTGCACCTCCTGTGACAGAACCTAGAACTAAAGTCCTCCAAACACCCACCTTACCTCCCACGTCAGAGTGGCACTGCTAGTTCGCCATGCCACTCCACTTTCCCTGAATTGGCCCTACCTAGCTAAACCTAAACTCCATAGTTTGCACCTCTGAAACAATTCTATGAGTTGAAAAAATCCAAAACTACAAATGTCCATGTGTAATGGGCACTTAAAATATTTTCTGCAAATGTGCTTTTTTTTTGTAACAGCTTTACCTAGATATATTCACATACCATACAATTTGCCCATTTAAAGTATACCGTTCAGTGGTTCTTAGCACATTTACAGTTGTGCAACCATCACCAGAGCCTAGTTCTGAAATATCTTCATCACCTCAAAAAGAGACCCCATATCCTTTAACTATCATTGCCAGTCCCCCAACCCCTAAGCAACGATGAATCTACTTTCTATTTCTAAATATTCTAGGTACTTCATATGAATGGAATCATACAGTAAATACTGGTCTTTTGTGACTGACTTTAACTTAGAATAATGTTTTCAAGTTTTCATCCATGTAATACACTTTTGAGGAACAAAAAATACTATCTATAATAATAGTATTGGGAACCTTTTCTCAAAACCATAAAACTCTAAAATGTGCCTGTTTGAGATTTAGGATACAGTTTTTGGCAGGTTAACTTTTTATCATCTATCATTACTGGCTCCTTTATGCTTCCTTCCAACAGACAGCTTCTGGTGACCTTCATGGAGAGCCTATTATTAGAAATTGACACATTAACTAAGTTAATTGTGAAAATATAATTACAAACAATAACAGACATGTGGTAGAGAACAAATCCCATGTTATTTTCACCCTCTTCCAAGACCTTTTTTTGTTTATGTGAAATGTATTTTTTCTTTGTGACATGCAGTTCAAGTAAAAGACTTTCAAGGGGAGAGTTTTAATCATGAGTGACTTTAATATTTTTACCCAGCTGACAGCTTAAGGAGCAGGGTGGTGGGCAAGGAAGGACTGGGCTTTGGGGTCAGCCACACCAGGGCTCAAATTTCAGATCTGCGCCATGTTTCTTTAAGTAGGTGACTTAAATCCTATGAGTGTCATTATTTTAAAAAGGAGATACTGACTCTACACATAGCATTGTTAAAATTATATTATTTATATATAATTTTAATATATATTTATTATTTATAATTTTATATATATTTTTAGATATATAAT